AAGGCCCACGTCAGGTTTGATATATTCCAATCAACCCACCAAGAACGACTTCCGGAAACTTCCGGAAAAACGTGAAAACGAAAGCGCTCGAAATTGCGAAAGAAAAAAAGAACACCTAGTCGGGTGCAGTATGTGGAGGAGGCAAGATCCAAATCCTGCGGTCCAAAGTACAGTGTTTGTATAACTCCCTATAGATTTGGATCGCCTTTGATCCCTTTGAGATTGGTCAGTTCTGTGAAAGTCGTGGGGTGTACTGATGCTTTTCCAAGAGTATTTATACTGGGCCCCAATGAGATAGTTGTGGAGCTGCCAGAGTCCAAGAAAATAGCTTTAGAGAAAGGACTTGGTCAAAATTTTAGAACGTTTCGTTTTTGTGGATGGTTCACCCCTCAGGAGTTGTCCAAAATTAATTTCATATCTTCCCATCAACGTCTTTAAGAAGCAGGATGGAAGATGTGAAAGTTTGATGATTGCAAGCATAAGACATCAGAGTCAGATGTCTTCAAATTACAGGCGCGCGATGTCGCAATGAAGCCATTATATACAGGTATAAATCTGTAAATAATTGGATTGGTTTCGCAATGAAATTGCACAGGATCATAATATGTGTCTAGAACGGGATGGGAAACGGCTCTGGGCTCGTTTCCCAGAGTATCGCGCAGGTCTTGTGAGGATGTGGCATCTTTGTATGAGCGATGAGACGAGACTTAATCTTTATGAAGAAGAGCCGACCCTCTCGCCAATAAACAGTAGGTAGCTGTCTGCCACAGGTCTTGGTGCGCATGTTTGTATGAAGGTCACATGTGCCACTGCTTTATAAAGGAGGTCCTTGGCAAATTGGAAAAAATATTCACACGAGAGCCATCGAGAGCCTCCGAGAGCAGAGAGCTCGGCGTGATTGATGTATTGCACACTTTGCGAGCCGAGATGTAGCCACAACAGCGAAAAAAAATCACCCGATTGATTGCCGTTTGCTTATATTAAAGCTTGAGTGTGAGGTTTGGTTATCCAGCACCCTGGTATGAGGGTTGTTTGGGATAATCACAGCTTTCGTCGGGGGGGGAAAGGTACAGTTGGAAACCGTGTGCAATCTGGTGATGAGTGGGGTGGTCGTCACCCCGTTAATATTGGAGATGACACAAAATGCGCTGGTTCCGATGTCGGGTCGGGAGTGGGAAGTGAAAAGGTCATATGCTGGTTCTGATGGCAAGTCACGGCGGTGCAATGGCATGCCCGAACAGAACATGTTGGAAGTAGGGGCCTTCGGGCATTCTAACAATCTGTGGGCATGCGCACATGTCTGCTTACAATCAGGGCAAAGTTCATCGCTAGAGGCACCCTTGGCTTTAGTGTCTTCAGCCTGATATCCGACCAAATCAAATCCCAACCAGAGCGTAAGTGGGGGTAGGTCTGATGATTCAGAAGGCCGTCAGGGTCCAGGACCAATGGGCCCGTGGGCGGGTCCTTTATGTAAATGGTTCTTGTCATGTGAGGGTAATAGTGGTGCCGCCGCAGTCGTGAAACCATGAGTAATACTGATGTAAGTAATGAAGGGCCATCCATGGTTGGCTGCTCGTTCCGTCAAGATATCGGCCTACATCAGCAATTGCAAGAATCGCATTGCCGCCGCCCTTAAGCGATGTCTTTCTTTGTTTTCACTATGGGATCTAAGGAATCTATTTATGAAGGTCTCATCTCCATGATTGTTGCCAAATGGCCACACCAATTCTTACGCCCAAGCAGGATATGATGGGTGGGAAGTGTTTGGACCAATGCTTTCAGGTAGAGTCGGCTATAGGGCGGGGATATGTCCCAAGATCGTGATGGGTCGTCCGTCTTTGATTGAACGTGGATGCAAAATATTGGCCAAGAGGAGTGCCCGGCCTTTGCATCTGTTGTTGATCCCGCGGCCCCAAAAGTCCCAGGATACAAGTTTGGTCTCGGACGGCTGGAAAAGGAAGCATCTGGAGTTCTTTCGCGCGCTGAGAGCGGCGTGAAATCGCTTGATTCTGTTAAATAAAGTCCAAATCAACAGGTGGGATCAATGGTGTATCAACACAGGCTGCAAATGGTTGCAGCCTATCCACTCAAAATATTTTTGGATGTTTGTGGCAAGAATTGAATCAAAATGCATCAAAATGTGACGAATGTGACATTTGGTGGGTTGGCATGTCATCTGGGGATGGAGACAGTGAAAAAGTTCCCCGAGACAGAAGAATTCCCTCCAGATGTTGGATAGTTAAGGCATTGGAGTTTTCCGCAAGAACTCGGATGGAGACGGTTCCATATGTGGCTTTTTGATGCGTTTTAAGATGTTTTAAGCGATCTGCACTGGTCGATTGCAATCTAGCTCGATTCGTAGATTACCTTGAGAAATCGCAAAAGTCGTGCGCTGATTGTAGAAGCGTGTTGGAAACCACGTGGCATGCCAGAGCTCAGAGGAAAGGCATTGTGGCAAGAGCAAAGCAAACTCACGTAGCCTCGTTCAGAGATCTTGTGAACTGGAGCATCTGAAAGGGATCGCTAGTCTGTTGAAGCATGCTGAAGCTATCCAGCCTGTGAATCGTTCGGGTCATGTGATTCAATTTCACTTCAGTGGCTGAGGCAACCGAATCATCCAAGTGACATATGTCCATGCCTTCCACAGTGCGAATCTCCAAGGAAGTATCCTTGGGCAATCATTTCACAAGGCTAGCGGCTAGGTGAAGCTAAACTAGCTGAGCCTATGTACAAAGGAACAGTGGTAAAGAAGTCACAGCTGACATCACAGGATTTGGGGGTCAAGTTGCGTCTCGCTGAAGTACCTCCATCGCAGTCCTTAAATCAGGTCCCAAGATGTCCCAAGCATTCATTCGGAAACTTGGATCCCTTGAATTCTTCAGGACAAGCAATTGGAGGAGGTTGTGCACTGCATGCGCATGTCAGGCACTGTATGTTCAAAACAAAACGTCCAAACGACCTCCTGGTGCAGCCTCTGTGACATTCATTCAGCAGTCTTTATTCAATGTTGATTCCGCTGGGCCATGCCAAGGCTCTACTCAGGCTTTGCTCTGCCATTTCGGCCCATCAGCCATGGCGACAGCAGTTCCAAGCATTGATGAACCTAGTATGATCCTAGTATGCTGAAGTCAGGGGGTGTCCGCCACTATCTTCAGAAAGAGACTTGGATCTTGGCACCCTCAGGAAATCAAACTGTGTGCTTCTCCGCCTCACACTTATAGTCCAAGCTCCCATCTGCCCTGTGTAAGGCGTTTTGCGCATCGCTTTTCCACAGACACCTGTGAGCCTGTGAAACAAGGCAAAAGAACACGCAAGACCTGTGCCTTGCAAAATCTAGAATAGGGATGGTCACCGAGACATTGTCTGACTCGTCCTATGAGTACCTTCCCTGTCATCAACCAAGCTTGCACATGCTTGCACTGGAGCCACCCGCTTTTCTTGCAGAGCTTTGCCGCATCTTGATATGTGTTCAACCAATCGATCCAGCTTGGACCATTCAGCTGGGGTCCCCGTAAAGAAACCACAGGTCGATGCGTCGGTGTTTGTAACCTCCTCGCCTTAGCGTGCACACACACACACGCACTCTGGCGGTGTAGCGTGAAGGATTATCCAATATGCAAACACAACAGGTTCTTGGATAGTTCTTCTGTTGACTCGCTCGTTTCCTTCAAATTGTGCTGACCCTGGGCTTCGACACCAGCTTTGGGAGGTCCAATCCGTCTTGAAGAAGCGCTCGCCGCGCCATAGCACTAAGCGGTTCCTCGGAGCACCAAGGCTTGAAACGCTGCCTAGCAGCAAGGACGCTACTAGTAACAAAGGGCATCGCTACTAGGAACAAGCACGCTACTAGTAGCTCCTGGCCTTACTACTAGTAACAAGAAGCTACGAACGTAACAAAGGGTATTGGCTGGTGGGAGTCACCCAAGGGCATAGGAAGCCCTTCAAGCTCGGGGCCCTACTGGCTGCAGTTAGCTGCGTTTGGATTGACATCGGGCAGGTAGCTTTGATCCATTCTTATTTTACTCTGGGCTGGTTGAATGCCACATTCATCACAATCACTCTAAGCCGGCTTGCCCACAGGTTGCAATGAGTCCGACACGTTTTGTACGGAACCACACTCGATTTGGAATTCTGCGCCAGAATACGTTCCTGCTTTGGCCAATCGTCCTTCCAAAGGAAACAATGTCTCAACATGTCTGAGCAAGTGCAGAGGAGCGTGTTTAGGACTGCATGTCTCTCATGAAGCGCGCAAGCACACACACACTGACTGGACGTGGACTTGCAGCTCCAACAGAAATTGCTTGTGGCACTGACCAACCCAAGATGGGAAGGTGCGCAAAACTGACCAGGTACTACAAGTGTCCAAGCCTTCTTGGCCTGTGCGGAATTCCCGTCCTCAAGCCGAGGGCTCCAAGCATATCTCGCAACACCCGTCAATCCTACAGCGCACAGGACCATTCTGGCAGTTCTAGATTCAAAGCAGCAGCAGCAGCAGCAGTAGTAGTAGTTTTAGTAAGAGTCGGAGTAGTAGAAGATAGTAGAAGTAATCACGCCCTCACAAAACATGACATCCTTACATAGAACCCTCTAAGGGCATAAGTAGATATAGTAAGTGTCGTCAATATGCCTTAGTCGGCTTGCCTTCAGCCGTTGCATTAAAGATCTCCAGGCCATTCCCTGCAGCGAAAAATCAAGCAGGCTAGGAATTGTCTTGCAGAATCCTTCATGCCATGAATTGTCCCATTGTCTGTGGGTGGCAGACTGCTCGAAATCAAGAATGTCCAAAACAAGTCAAAACAAGTGTCCAAGACCTCCCCAAATCGTGCCTTGCTTGTTAAGGCTTGCAGCCATTGGAGTGGTCCACAAGCACAGGGCAACTTTGGCCGGCCTCGAGTCACACAAGAAGCATGGTTCGTCCTTGCCGCCTCTATTGATCTCCTACTTGCTTATCAGTTTGCCTGACCTATTTCGCCAAACTCCTATACAAGTGCCATTGGCCTCTAAGAGATCAAGATCCACCGGCCAACTGGGTTCTCTTGCAGTGAATGAACGCCCAGTCCAGGCTGTGGCCATTCCACATCGTACTTGTGCGCGTAAATGCTGCCCAACCTGACATGAGCAGAGGCCACAGGCAGTCACCCTGCTGTTCTGCAAAGGCGAACTAGCCACCTACAGTATATAACATGTTCAGGCACCTGCTGACAAGTTTTCCTTCCCACCGCAACTGCCTTGGTTAGCCACACCACTAAATGGCTGCCCACATTCCGCAGCGTCTAGAATCTACACAATGGGGAGGGACAGTAGATACAGTAGGAAAAGATTGAACATGATTGAAGCAACCAGTGGACCTTATCCTTTCTTGTCTGGAGTGGCAATTCATCATAATCAATGCATTTGTACTATCTTCAATTGGCAAACTCTGGCCGGCCTGTGTGGACCAAGTGCGGAAGGCCTAGCAGGAACGGCTTGTCCGACCGTTGCCCCCCGTCATTGGCTGTAAGCAATTGAGTGTGCGCAAATGGTTTGCTTGCCGCAGATGTGATATACATTGATATACCGGAAAACCCGGCATGTCTTTGTCTTTGTGCCCTGGATGATCTCAAGGAACTCGAACTGCACAAAACATGTGCATCCCATCACATGAAATGTGGCAACAAGGTTCCGGCATCCGATGTGCCAGTTCAGCTCCTAGCTGAAGAAGAAGCTCCGCCTACAGAGTAAGTCGGGTGGAATGGGCGGCTCAGGCATTCCACAAAGCACTTGTGCCCTGTTGTTTGAGTCGCGGCTCTGGCAGACTCTAGCAACAAACCAGCCAGTGGGGGTTCGCGATTTCACACCGAAACAAAATTTACTTTTCTTGGTCTTTAGATGTCTTTAGTCGTTAGTTCAATCATGTTCAATCCACGGGCAGCCCTGGGTCGCTTAGCTTCCACACATGCAGGCCATCCAGCAAGTGAGCTTTCAGGTAAGACCCTCCAACTTGCGGAGAGTGCCAAATGGTCGCCTGTAGGCAAGCCGAAATCGAGCAACACGGAGAGGCCCATGTCACTTCATGTCACTCTCCACTGACAGAGCCGCCCACAGCTACCCCCCCTCCTCCAGGAAGTGCTCCGTGAGGGCTGCCAAGGCGGTGGGATTCAGCGCCGCGTCGAGGAAGGCCATGCCTTCCTGCCGCAGTCAGAGGCAGAAACACCTTTGGGCCTTGGGAGGTTGGAGCAGCTACCCTGGTGGTATAAGAATCTAGTGAGAACCCTGGACACCACTTTTCCACAATAGACCGCTTCAGGCATCCAAGCTCAACACCTCAAGCTTGGCAAGCTCATACCTTGGGGGTGCCCAGCAGCTGTTCATACTTCATTGACTTCGCCACCACCGACTTAGAGGAAATGTAGGCATAGACTGAGAGCATCACCACCAGCACAGCCAAGAGCGTTCGAACTTCAAAGGGCGTGCCGAAGGTGGGCAAGCAAATCTCCAACAAATAGGTGACCAGAACCGCCAAGGCTTCACCCATATTCTTTAAAACCGAATCCAAATAGACCAACAAATACAAAGTGCTCCATGCCTTGAGCATATGGGACACGGCCACCGCCACAGTGCAGGCGTCCCATCCATGAAAGAAACCGTGCTTGAGACTCTGCCCATCGAAGCAAACCAAGAAGGATAAGAGCAAAGTTCGAGACAAACGGAGCTGGATTGCCTGAACATAGACAGGGTCGTTGAATTGCTTCGTGTACCGATCGGTCAAGACCGCGGCCAAGCAAGAGACTGCTACCTTGAGGAGGACATTGAAGGTGCCGAGGAGCTTTTGGCTTGAATTGCTCTCATCACCAGAGAGGTCCAAACACATGTAGACAGACATTGAGCACACCACCAGTGCAAGGAGATTCCACTGGAAGAGCGATTGGCGTTGACCACTGATAGCCCAGAGCATCAGCGCCGTGATCAAGAGCCTTGATTGCAGCAAGATCTGGTATGCGCCACCGCCTCACCAAAAGGGTGGCATGCACCCGCGTCTTGTGCATTCGTCATGTCAACCCAAACGGCATGTCCCATCAAATGTGAACTTTCAAACCCCCTACCTAGGGAGACCAGGCTTCGCATCTCCAGGTAGTCGCCACATCCGAACAGAAAGCCGACCACCAGGAAGATTTTCCTCTCAGGAGTGCGAGAACAAGAGTTCTAAAGAAGATCTACGTGTTGTATGATAGAGCATGAGTTGCCGCCGCGACGCAAAAATGAGCGCCAACAATCCAAGGTCAACTTGTCACAGTGAATGGGTTTCCAAAACTGAGCTCTGCCATATTTGTTAGAACTAGTAAGACTACCTGAAAAGCCAGGTATAGATGAGAAGCTGCTACCAGGATCCACCAGTGACCAGGTATACGTATTGTTTAAATATATATATATATCTGTGTGTTTTTGCAATATTTAGATATATATGATATATATATATATATACGTATATATATATACCGCATTGATACTTGGCATGGACACCTTGCATCGGTAATTACTTGACCTACTGGGTGGAGACGTATGGAGGCCACCACTCATCACATCCCACACGTCCAGTGCATATCCAAAGCTCAGGGGTTTAGGTTGCCAAATGTTGGGCCATTCGCCAGTGCGAATCGACACCATTTGCGCGACAACCATTGAGATGAAAACCTCCGCCAAATTGGCAGTCTGGGGGCCATAGGCAAAGAACCTTCAGTTTCGAGAGGCAGCGTTGATCCAAGCAACAATGTCTACAGTACCTCACCAACCTCTTCAATGATATAATAATCAAATAACTGCTGTGCTTTTGTTGTCCATGAAGTGCAAAATCATACGAACTGAATCAAAACAAGGCCAGCCAAAGCACTTCTGTCCAGAAGCATCTACACTCTTGGAGGCGTCGATGATCTCAGACGCAGCTTGGGAGGCTCGAACAGTCTCATCAGTGGTGCACTTTCATGAACGTACTTAGCCGCTAGGCTTAGCCTGAATTTGTGTAATCTATACATTGCTTCCTGCCATGTGTCCTTACTTCTACCATCCTGGATGCTAGGACAAGAAAGGAAGGAGAGCCGTGGCGTGGTACAGACTTCAGTCACCCCTCCTTCCCATGCCAAGGTGCTGTGGGATGGATAGCACGGATAAAGACAAAGAAAATGAAAAGAGCTGTTTTCACTGATCTCGAAGGCGGGGCTGTCGCCGACTTGAACTCCAAGCCGCTGTAAGGAGAGGCCATGGATGCTGAACTGAAAGGGAAGCTTTCTTACACTGGCTTTGCGCTGGCTCTGCACCACTCTGTGGCTTGGATACTGCACAGGTGCATTGCAAGCTTGTTGGTGGCACACCTTCACTAACTTGTCTAAAACGGTCTCTATTCATTCTGCAGGTTGTGAAACTTCTATGCAAATGTCATGAATGGGCAGGCTGCTTTGAGCCTTCCTGGAAGGGCAAAAATGCGCTTTCTCATCTCTCCCCCTTTCTCTATCTGATGCTATATTAAATCCCTGTCTCTGTCCCCCTCCCTGGTCTCATACATCCAAGATGTTCGTTGACCAAATAGACAATGCAACGCTTCCCGCAACAATTGCACAACGCACGTGTTTCCCAGAAGGGTGCAGGCAATGAGACGTCTACAGTATATACTATATACGAGTCTGAGTCTAGGGTTGAAAAACAGAAGTCGAAGTGATCTCTTTTGGATTCTTCTGGCACGCTTGAAGCTTAAAGCCAAGTCTTGAGAAGGACGAGGCAGCGCCCTAATAGTCGAACGGCTGTAAGTGCACGTCAACAACGAATGTGGTTGGTGACGTCAATCAAAAAAAAACTGCATTTATGTCCGGCAGAAGTTCCCGGCAGAAGGAACAATTTTGGAGACAGGAATCTCGAAAAATCCACCCACCAAAGTGGCAAGCAATCTCACAGTGGAGGTCAAAAGTCTCGAGAGCGCTTTCTAGTTGTCAAGTGCCAACTGACCAAGTAGAAAAACGGCACAGCTGTAGACAGTAGGTCTTTTCCTGCGATAAGGCCATATGAGCTTGAACGCTGGGATTTGTAGTGGTTGCTTTTGCTATGACGATGGCTTCCGTGTTTCATATTGCATGCTGGTGGCACCCGCACGCCTTCCGGGTTTAGTGTGTCTACATCTGCATAGAGCAACGGCATCTAATCATGCACCAAGACCAACGACACTTGATCTGTAATGACATGACAGCGGTTGAGACTGCACGCAGGGGTGGGAAATTATCGTTGAATCTTTGCATGCCGCATTATTGCAGGTACGGTTCCGTGGGCCCGTGGGCCCGTGGGCCCGTCGCGGTCCCGTGGTCCTGTTGCGGTCCCGTGGATGGGCCCGTCCACGGTCCCGTCGGTCCCGGGGTCCCGTGGTCCCGTGGGCCCGTGGGCCCGTGGTACGAGAGTAGACTCTTCTCGGCACGGGCCCAAACAAGCAGCTTGTTCCGCATCAGGACGCTGCCTGAAGGAAAGTTTCCTCGAGCTTTGCCCAGTTGGCTTTAGCATCCAGAACCTCAGTCTGGGGACCCCGCTGGCTCTTCAAGTGTGATGTGGCTTTGAAGTGAGCAAATCCGAGAACTAGCCAACTCTCTGTAGGGCCTTTGAGGCCATCCAAGTCCGAAAGTCACCAAGCAACACAAGCACGTGTGTGTGACACGACCACACAACAACCACTGAGCTTTGCACCCCACTTTCCAAGCGTTCCTGCCAAAGAAAAGAACCCCACCACGCATGTGGAGTCTTGACAGCAATGTTACGTTCATAGAGTTATTCAGAGTGGCTGTAAAAAGTCAAGTGGATTGATCTTTTCTAGCATCTGGAACTGGAGCAGCATGGCCGGGTGAATCTCTAGCTAGTTGGCCTTTGTCAGTCTTGTTCCCTATCCTACGGTCGTATGGTTGCAAGGAGGCTGCTAACCCGTCTCAACATGGGAGTAGCACCAGATGAGGCACATGGATTGCACGATCCAAGTAGGGCCTCAACCTCGGCAGGCAGGCTCGCTCAGCCCCGTTTCACACGAGAGAGAGAGAGAGAGAGGAAATAGAAAGTGAAGCTATAAGAGCTGCAGATTGAACCAAGTGAAAACTATATTATATGGCTGCGGGCTGCGGGTATCCACCCAATAGGTCATAAAGGGGGCCAAAGATGTACAAGCAACATCAAACAATATGCTTGTCCATTCGCAACAATCGGAACCTGCTCAGGCAAGCCCTGTGCAGCTCCTTTTCAAGCATGAAGGCTCACTGCAGCAGCCAAAGCTCTGCCTCGCACATCAAATTGTCACGGGTCTCAAGTCTCAAGCACGAAGAAACCAGGCCACAGGGTTTTAGGATGGTCTAGGTATAGGTATAAGCTTTGCAGAAACACATTGAGAAACTTCTGCAAACACAAGCGAAAGCCACAAACCCCCGAGGCTCGTTTCAGCTCTCAAGTCCTCACTACCGAGGCTACACCTTTCAGCTTTCTTCAAAACTGCTTCGCTCACCTGCGGCTTGAGCATTTGCGCGGAAGACAAACGTCCTGCGCCCAGCTCCAAGGCTAAGCCGGAGAGCACCATGGCCTTGGTCGAAGCAAGTAGCCGCCAGGAACTTACATGGACAAGGAGACATACTTGGGATTCCAAAAACATCTATACAAATAGAGTAGTGGTGGACAAGTATTCCAGCCATCCACTTTGTATCCAGATGAAGGGGGAAAGAGGAGGAGGATGAGGAGGAGGAGGAGAAGGAAGAGGAGTAGTCTGAGTAGTAAAAAGTCAATTAGAGCAGCCGCTCCCGGTTCTTGTGTCATCGCTGCTTAGCACTCTCTCCCATGTCTCTATCCAAGCCACACAACGTTGGAGCATCACCAAATGTCCTGGGAAGTCCTGATCAAAGTTGTATCGCGTGTTGGCTCATTTTTGCGTGAAGCGGGCGGGGTTATATGACATGACAGGCTCAACAAAGTTCCTCGAATGTCAAACTGAATGTGATGGAAAAGCTTCGCACGGGCAGTCACGGTACCCTGGTTCCAAGCTATTGTAGAGGACTCTACTAGGAGCAAAGGGCATCGCTACTAGGAGCAAGGACGCTACTAGGAGCAAGCATTGTCACGCCAACTGCATTGCTTTGCACCTCGATGTCATCGAGCTCACCTCCCCTGTCAGGAACAAA